ACAGACCTGATGCTACACATGGGGACAGACCTCTTCATTCAGACTCAACAAACATCATGTCAAGCTCCTGCTTAGAATCAGAATCATTGAATGGTTTGTGTTGGAAGGTCATCTTTATAAAAGTCATCTAGTCCAACTCTCTTGCAATGAGTAGGGACATGTTCTAGATCAGGTTGCTCAGAGCCTGGTCCAAGCTGAGCTTAAGTGTTTCCAGGAAAGGGTCATCCACCTGGGCAACCCTGTGTTACTGGGAAACCTGTTCCAGTTTTACCACACTCACTATAAAACACTTCTTCCTTATAGCTAGTGTAAATCTACTGTCTTTTAGCTTAAAACAGTTATCCCTTATCCTGTCACAACAGACCTTGGTAAGAAGTTTATCCCCAGCCTTTTATACGGCCGCTTTAAGTACTCAAGGACCACAACAAGGTCTCTACAGAGACTTCTCTTCTCTAGGCTGAACAACCCCAGCTCTCAGCCTTTCCTCCTAAGAGAGCTGCTCCAGCATTCTGATAATTTTTGTGTCCCTCTGCTGAACTCACTCCAACATCTCCATGTTTTATTCCAGAGCTGGACACAGCCCTGCGGGTGGCGTCTCACCAGAGCAGAGCAGAGTGGCAGAATCCCCTCCCTTGCCCTGCTGGCCACGCTGATTTGGATGCAGCCCAGGACAGGTTTGGCTTTCTGGGCTGTGAATGTACATTGCTTCAGCTTTTCATCCAACAGCACCAAATCCTCCTCAGTAGGGCTGCTCTTGATCTGTTCATCCCTCGTTGGTACCAGGAGCTGCCCTGATCCAAGTGCATCACCTTGCACTTGGTCTTGCTAAATCACGTGAGATTCCCATGTGTCCACTTCTCTAACTTGTCAAGATCCATGTGGATGGCATCTTGTCCTTCAGGTGTGTCAACAACAGCACTCAGTGTGGTGTCATCTGCAAATTTTCTGAGGGTGCACTTGAACCCCCTTGTCAATATTGCTGATGAAGCTATTGTACAGTACTGGTCCCAGTACTGACCCTTGAACAACACCACTTTTCACTAATGTGCACTGGAATGCTGAGCCATTGACTACTTCCTCACAAGCTACAAGCTAAGTTCAGCTCCTTTGTCTTTTGCCTCCATCCTGGGGTGAGGGAGAGGCTGGCTGTGGTGGAAGATTTGGTGATGGAGACAGGTGTCTAGCAGAAATTGGCCAGACACCAGGTCAGCTGTTCTGTGCTGCACCTGTGGAGTGGTTGATGGCAGCCTTTGCTGGCTGCTGTCTCCCAGCAGAGGCTGCATAGCAGCCACCTGGGTGTGAAAAGCTCCCAGCCTTTGACAGTTCCCAGAGCTCTCTGATCCTTAGGACATTTATTGTAGCTTAGAAACTGCAAACGTTGTTGGTTTGCTATTTGCCACCAGGTGGCCTAACCATTCCACCGTTCATGAGGAACGAGACTCCATTAGAGAGCAGCAGCTGGAACTTTTTAAGCTTTACATATTTTTCTTCCCAAGCCTCCACGTCCCCTCCTTCCTCCTCATTCAGTTGATTAAAAGCGATCAGGGCTGCTCTGATTTATCAACTCAATCCTTTACTCTAAGCAATTGAGAAAGCTGGTGCTTCCAGCCATCCAGCCCCAGCTTTAGAGATCAAGCTCAGCTGTCTCTGTTTACCTCTTAGCCCAAGTGAACTCTTGCCATAACAGCACAGGTACCTTGAACTTTTCCTCGTCCAGCAGTAACTGGAGATTGATTCCTTTGTTTGTTGCCTCTGGTATGACTCTGGTAGCTGTTTTTGTGACCACCCAGGAGTTCTGTGCTGGTCACATAAACTGGATTTATCTTTTTGTAAGCTGCCTTGTGTCCCTGGAGCATTGCAGTGTGGATTCAGTGGGCCACGGGATCTGAC